TAAAGATACATAGCCTGTCTGTGATAATAAATACAGGTGTATGACAAGTCTGAAACAGTAAATAAAAAAAATGTCCCCATGTCTATATGTTATACTCCACAGAGACCAAAATGGCTTTAATGCGGTCTGTGATAAGCAGCCGAAACAATTAATAAATGTTCCTAATATGTTTAATGTCAATTACCTGTCTGTGAATTTGTACGGGTAATATTACAATTTTATCAAATTTCTTTAAAAACATTTAGAGGAAATCCGTGAAGAAAATCAAGATAAAACATTTTAATGAATAAATTGTAAGTAATACATGCAGTAGGATCGTTTTCCTTCAGTTATGAAATACATAGGAACATCCATTTCTCCACCACTTACCCCCCATCTACTTTATAAAGCTTAACCTTTTAAAATAATGTTAATACCGCTATAACCAGACCTATTTGGTGGCATTAAACTCCTACTTTCACTTTCACATACTTCATTTCCGGTTAAGAGATACGNGCTCCATGCATAAATGACAACTTGGCTTGCCATACTCAGTCATAGCTTGACAAAGGGACCAGTCGGTCTTGAAACGTTGGACACGTTTAATACGTACATTGTGTGTGTAAGATATAGTGTAATGCTCTCTTAATACGAAAACTCTAACATTTCCGTGAAATCTTAACCATTGACATGTTTCTAGATGGTGGTCCCAGATTGCAAGATTAGTACAAAATTGTTAAAGTTACACGTAGAAGGAGCATGTTTTACCGAAGATGATCACGTCTGTCTGTCGGTCTGTATATATCTCTCTCTCTCTCTCTCTCTCTCTCTCTCTCTCTCTCTCTCTCTCTCTCATATTTAAAAAATAATAATGTCATAATGCAGGAAAGGACTTCTTTAAGTTGTGAACACTTTTTGTCCGATTATTGTTTTGAATATGTATGTGACCAGACCAGACCTCACTAATGTCGTCGTTAAACAACCTATTCATTTGTAATCCTTCAGAATCGACTGCACCTTTTCCCTATTGTCCGCAGGTGCTGTCCGTTTGTAAATGTGTTTTTTTTTAACCGTAGACAATGGAATTGTTCCTTAAGAAAACACAAGTACAGGTATATTTTTGTACTTAGCGCATTTTCAAAACCACCGTTTCCGCTCGCCTGCGTGGCCGTGAATATATTATACTGTTTACCTTATTCTGGTAATTGATAAGTGGGGGCCTTGTAGTTATATAGCTGTCTTAATCGTCGAAAATCAACTCAGTCGGCAATGCGATTGTTATTGAATACGCGCATGCGTAGTATATTTTACATATGATTATGCTCATTATTGGACAGAGCGGGAATTCGGACTTGAAACTTGAAACTTTAAGTGACAGAGAGGCGGGTTTATGTAGAACGCAGACATCTACAGTATAGGGACCAATCAAATCAACACTTAAAATACGTCAAGTTTCAAGTAAGTAGCTGTTTCACCAGATCAGAATAGGGGTAACCGTCTTATATAATGGAGTTCAAGTTTGTCTATATAAATCAAAAGCAACGATTTCTCAGAAATATCTGTAATACCATTCAGGAATGCCAGAGAACGGGAGACGTGATTTTTATATGCATGGATCAATGGAATAAACAAAAGCAGTGAACGAATAACGGCAATACGGAGTTGTGAACAATACCGAATACCGGCAATACGGAGTTGTGAACAATACCGAATACCGGCAATACGGAGTTGTGAACAATACCGAATAACGGCAATACGGAGTTGTGAATAATACCGAATACCGGCAATACGGAGTTGTGAACAATACCGAATACCGGCAATACGGAGTTGTGAATAATACCGAATACCGGCAATACGGAGTTGTGAACAATACCGAATAACGGCAATACGGGGTTGTGAATAATACCGAATACCGGCAATACGGAGTTGTGAACAATACCGAATAACGACAATACGGAGTTGTGAACAATACCGAATAACGGCAATACGGAGTTGTGGACAATACCGAATAACGTCAATACGGAGTTGTGAACAATACCGAATAACGTCAATACGGAGTGTGAACAATACCGAATAACGGCAATACGGAGTTGTGAACAATACCGAATAACGTCAATACGGAGTTGTGGACAATACCGAATAACGGCAATACGGAGTTGTAAACAATACCGAATAACGGCAATACGGAGTTGTGGACAATACCGAATAACGGCAATACGGAGTTGTGAACAATACCGAATAACGTCAATACCAAATAAAGGTAAATGAAAGCAATGAAATTTACAAAAACACCTGCAACGAACACAGGAGAAGTGAATAATACAGAGTACCAGCTATACAGGGGCTGTGAATTAAACGAAATATAGGGGCTGTTAGTATTACGGAATATCGACAACCATGGACTTTGAATTAAACGGAATACATGGTGCTGTAAATATTACGGAATATCAGTAATACATTGGTTGTGAATATCACGGAATATCAGCAATACTGGGGCTGTGAATATCACTGAATATCAGCAATACTGGGGCTGTGAATATCACGGAATATCAGCAATACTGGGGCTGTGAGTATTACGGAATATCAGCAATACTGGGGCTGTGAATATTACGAAATATCAGCAATACTGGGGCTGTGAATATTAAGGATACTGACATTACAAATACAACGAGGACAGTAAATATTTCGGAATATCGGTATTACCCAAGCATTATTTGTGATTATATTTCCTGGGTACCGCGGATACACGAACAGTGTGAATTCCGTCAATATACAGTCGCAGACAATTAGCTATGAAACACTGTTCGAACTAAATTGAGTGTACGAGCTTGTGTTACAGTATTAGTCTGGTGTCCTGTCAAGAAGTGTCGGACCAGGTGAAGCTATCATATTGTCTTTAGGAATCAATAGGTGTCTTCGTTTGCCGCCAAGTGAAGCTTCATTCCTTCTGGTGAAGTTTTAATTGATTGTAGATTTCAATAACTGCAAATATTGTTTCTTCTTCGTGTATTGTTTAAGATAGAAATCGCTATTGTGAAAGGGTATATCGACAGCGTCCCAAAAGTCGCGCGAGACCTAGAGTTATACACCTGTGTAACTGTTACGGTTGAATCTACATCGACAATAGTTTAATTATTCATGATGGATGATTTATGATAACCGGATATATTGTTTACAACTAAACAGCAAATTGATTGAACACTCAATATCTAACGCATTACAAGTAAGGACTTGAAGGAGACAACACTTCTGTTCGCTACTGTCAGTAACCTACGGGAGTAGTAAGCGGGTATACCCCGACAGGTGTAACGGGCATTGTGTGTTGTTCCCGGAGCTAAAAATAGCCACTGATGACGCCTACGACAGCTCAGGTAGACTTCACTGTAGGTGAAAGGACATGCGTCAGGAGCCTGGGTGGACATCGGTCCTTTTCCCGCGTCAGCATCATGAGGACGGTCAAGCTACGCCGGACCTATATGTGGGGTTTATTTATCATGGGATTATTCCTCTACATCCACCTTTTATACATCAAAAACAAAGGTAGGTGATCCAGCTAATTATATGGTAGTTTACCTGTGTAAACAGTCGAAGTACACGTCTGAGGCATATGTGCGTTTGTAGCCGGTGGGGATTATCAGTACAACGTGTGCTATTGACAATGGTCTACGGTGTAGGAAAACGTCACTGTCGCCAATGATCAGTCGTTTCTAAACAGTGGACATTGATCAAGTGGTCCAATTATCGCCGGTGTCCTTCTATTTTGTTGTTAAACGTCCTCAAAATGTTCATCTGTGGTCAGAGGAAGACGGGTGCCTAGGGAGACACACACCACCGAACAGAGACGAAACATGAGATATACAGCTCCCGTGTGTTTTTGCATGGGAGAAGGGGGTTCTTCTATATCCTTATAACAGTACACGATTCTGTAGTGCCAGCCCGCCCCACACCTATTGCCCCATATGCTTATTTACTAGCAGTGGTATATAGCGATCGAACCCGTAGTGGTAGTACTGTGTATATGTAAACAAAGGGTACCTGTGGCGCTACATGTATGTATTGACATGGTCGATTTCTACAAGATATATATGTGTCCATTTTATCACGATCTGTCTCCGGACATACTGACCGTGGTCATGCAAGCGAATCACCCCTCCTCCTCCTCTTATGATACGGTCATGTAGCATTCCTTCTCCCTAAGCCCCCCCC